ATCACTTGCAATAATAAAAGTTGTCTGGCTTGACTGATATATGAAAGTCTCATTTCATTAATTACAAGCTTCGCTCGATGCTAAAAGCATGTAAATAAATAAACCATACGAATGTTAACTGCATTAGTTATATCATGTTTATAAATAATAATGCCTCAGATTGGATTTTTAAATTCATCTTTTTGTGTTGTTTTCAAAATTGATGGCTGTACAATCCACTCTAAACAATATTTTTTTCGAATGGGAACGGCGATTATTTCGACACTTCCCATGTAACAATTACTTAGAAGAATGCTTGATCTTTTGCGCCCTACAAAGTACATTCTAAAATGTTTCCTATGAGAAATAAACTATTTTTTTTCTCTGTAACATTTTTTATTTCTCATATGAGTTCGTAATAATTTCTTCACATTCATGTTTGTGAAAAATTGGGTCGGTTATATACCATTTACTAAAAATTATATGACTTATTTTGAGACATGATAAACTAGTTGCTAGAAGTTCACGTAGCGTTATCTATGAGATTTTTCTTGAAACACCCACATGTTTTCATTCCAATTGAGGTTTCAACTATATCTATAGCCAGAGAAATTTTTGAAAATTAGGATTAACTAATTAGAAAATATGTATCCACAGAACTAGCGTTTAGAATTAACTGAACACGTGGTACGAAAATAATATAACTTCCTATCATTACTTAAAATCTACCATTAATAATATATTGAACAATCCATTTGTTCGAATAATTGTGGTATGAAACACTGTGAGCTGGATGTTAATGCATAACTACCATCTATAAAAAAATTGTTTGCACAGCGTCGAACAGGTTTGAACTTTTATGGATTGAAGTTAGAAATCAAAACCATTGAGTCTTAGGTGCGTGATTCAATAAGAACTGATTTGATCTATGTGAACACTAAGATATGTTGTTTTTTAAAATTATCAAATCTATCGATAAGTGCTCTGGTCAAAATAAGAACCAAGTGGAAAAAACATTACATTCATTTTAATTATCAAAACTATATTGAAATTTCCGAAGATTGCCGAATGACATACTTGATTCGCTATTGTTTATGGTGCTACAAAGCTGATTAAAATTAACAAATTCCAATGAACAACGTATAGTTTATGTGATATCAACACATTAAATTAACTTCGAGAATTGGAGGGAGACATCGAAAGGGTGAATAGCATTTGGAAGTAACTGGAAAAGAGTGCCCAGCATAGAGTTCGTTGGTGAACCCTCTTATGGTAGCTTATGTCCCACGAAGGGCAACAGGTGTAAGTAAGTAAGCCTGTTACATAAATCAGTGCACATATTCGCCAACAAAACGTAGGTAAATTAACTCGAGAAAACAATAGTTCAAATACATAAATGAAGAGTTGGCTTGAAGTATTTCAACAATATATTTTCGTCTTAGCGTGATCATAGGTAGTAATTTTATTAGAATATTTAGTACGTTGAACAAAAAATTAAATGTTTGCTACCAACTAGCAAAAGATATGACAGTATTTTTGTTATTCTCATCACGTAGATTGAAAATGGATGTGAATAAATCAACAACATTCTGCTTTCACTTGACTTTTCTGTAATTATAGTGGGAATTACGGACAAAAGTTTGATATTAACTAATGGAATTGAGACAGACGCTGGAAAAGGAATCGTGATATGAAAAATAGGACATAAACTATATGAGTAAACAATTAATTTCATAAAATTTGTGACCTGTTCGTCTTATTATGATTTTCGGTTCGTTCTCGAATGGCGGTTTGAGATTCATTATAGTGTGTCGAGCGTTTGCTTATGATCGGTCGTGAATCAAACAGAGCAAAAATGAATCGGTTCATATGATACTGAATAAAGCAGAAGCGAGCGATTTCAAGCCAGAGATAATTTGTAAAGGAATGTTACTTGTTTTACGCTTTTATGCCTCACAAACAGGTAAGGCAGAACGAAACGTTTTCTAAAATTGACAACTAACGTCAAAATCTAAAACAATTTTACATATCGTAGTTAGTAATGCATTATTACCTGGATGAATTTTTCAGATGTTTCAGTGAACTGATTAAAGACTAAGTATTCAAGAAGAGTTTGAAACTGGAGTTAGATTGGTGATAAAAAATTGATCTGAGAATTACGTCAGACATAGATGCGAGCTCCATTGAAAGGTTTCAATTCCCTTTTGTGTTCTGAGAAATTGTAAGAAGGTCTAAGGGAATATATTAAGAATAATTTATCGCTATTATGTTTTATAATTGAGAGCAAACTGAGGCAGTTCTCTGTTAGTTAAGAAACAGTAACCCCAAAGTATGTGACTATTTGATAATAACAAAATTCAATTTACCTTAAAAGGAGATAACTTTAATTCATGGTAAATTATAAATTTCTACACGTGACTATTCCATTTTTATAACAAGTGCGCTGCTAAATACATTTTATTTAGCGCGGAAAATGAAGAAAAATATCTAAAGACAATCTTTCAAAAGAACGGTTACCCAATCAACTTCATCAAAAAACATCAACCCAACGTATCGGCAAAAACAAAACCAAGTACAGAGACAAGAAACAGATCATCCTACCATATAGAAAAGACTTCAGAAATTGCAACAAGATTATTGAAGCCAATTGGAATAAGTGTACCACAAATTAGGTGTCATTTCAGTCAATTCTTTGCAAAGCAAAGGACAAGGTGATAAAGAAGGAAAACCGAGAATCATCTACAAAATAAATTGTTCCCACTGCGAAAAACACTACATCGGACAAAGTTGACACTTCTTTCATCTTTGCCTACACTAGTATCATTTAGTGGTCAAGTGCCGTGACATATTCTCGCTTATATCAACTCATGTGAACAACTATGAACACACATTTGATTGGAAAAGTGTTGCGATCTTGCATAGAGGGAACTTTAAAAACACCAGGGAATTTTTAGAAGCTTGACATTCAGGTCAATCAACAAGCACATTGAGATCGATCCAATCTATCAACCAATCAGAAAACTCATGGACAAATATAGGAACAAGAATCAAATCAATGGGAGATATCATCAAAATAAAGTAGTAAACAATGACAGATTAATGGTCAACAATAACCAATCAACATCGAGGTCTACAGGATAAGCTGTGGGTCATATGTTGAGAAATTCAAACACTTCGCTTCTACGCGAAGTTTGTGTTGATGATGTTTTTCAGAAGAACGACGAAAGCTCCACGACCACACCATCGAACTGAAAGAATAAAACTCCATTTAAATGACTCAAACTCAAATACTTAGAAATTAATTAAGATCTCATTATAAACGTACGCATTTAGTAGATAGTTGTTATTATTTACAGTTTGACTAATTAACTACTAGTCTCAGGATCGCGAGTTTTACGTTGAGTAACTTTGACTATTGACATTATTGCAGCTTGATTGACAGAATTGGATCAGCTCTAAAGACCCAAACAAACATTACATTAGTCACCTCTCGGTGATCAATCAGTCACAATTTTTTTCGCATTGACAATGATTTAATGTTATGTACGTTAGTAACTATAACGCATTTTTTTAAAATTCAGGATAGGCTAGCTGCTATTTTCAAGAATTTATCTCTCACTTACAAATTGTAGTTAAAAACTGCCATGAAACGTTCGCAAAACAAATGTTATCATTACTTGTAATGATTGGTAACATCACGCTTGTCAACTGTATTAAATGGATTCTATTGGTCATTAATAGAAGGTACTATTTACTAATACGTATTTTTTAGAAAACAAACGCCTTCAGCATGATTCGAATCAATACTGTCCAATGTCACATGCAGAGGCCTTACCAGTGATACGGTCATATAGTGATAGATCTCTTATAGGGCTGATATCCTTACTCCTGTCAATCATGAGTATGAACTAGATAAGTAATATGTCAATTTTTACTCAATGGTAAGCCAGAGTTAATGTCTTAGTCCTTCCAATGGTCAGTCATAGCATGAATAGCTTAGTGGTAACATCTCTGAATGTGACTTTTAATGAAGTGGTTTTAAATCATGTGGAAGGTATCAGTTTTACCAAAACTCATATAAGCCATCATGACCAGCTATGTTTAGCATAAAAATTCATTTAATTTTTACTTGCAACCACCCAACACTGGATTGTTATTTTATAGTTGCGACTTAACAACATTATGGGAAACATATACGCCATGAAAGGCATATATTTCCTTGAATTTCTCTATGAAGCCCAATGTCAAACATCAACGGATACTTCAGAATAAATGAATTGTGACTGGCAGTGGAATTCAAGACATGTGTTTTGATTTATTCAGGACTTGTCAGCTGGATGTACTAATGTCCTAATGTGGGAATCAATGTGTAAGTGGAGATAAATCCGTCTGACTAGTTCTAAACAGGCAGTAATTTGCATTCTAGATTCCACTATTAGCTACACCTCATCTGTTCAAAAGGACTGAAGATATTCATTACAGGATTTACTTATGCTAACAATGACTAACCAAAGCTCAGTTGTGGATATTAACAACAGAATAATTCAAACCCTTACTAATAATGATATTGACTGATCCTTTCTTGATATTTGTAGTTTAGATTTTCTACTAACTTAATGTATACTTCTATGATCTGTGAGAGTGACTATATATAATATGTATCATTTTAATGACTCCTGACAAAGAATGTTAATGATGTCTAAAAGTTTAATTTAATTAATTAAAATTCACTTAAAACTGTTTATGATGTGACTTTTACTTGCTGGAATACAAACTATTGAATAATTAAAAAGCAGAGTAATGTTAAAACTGGAGTGAAATAAACATTTTTTTGACTTAACTGATTACCGATAACATGATTGAAAATAGGAAATTTTACAATGGTAATCAAAATTTATAATTTCTGAAGAAACAATAAACATCAACAAAACGCTTCTTGTAAATATTCACTGTTTTCTTTAAAAAAATATTCATTAAACAACATTCTATCAACTGAATTAAATTGTTGCTCACTTTCCTTGTCAGCGTTTCTGTGCTTGATCATCAGATGATGAATAAACTATCTGATTTGCCGTAGCATAAAGTGATTCATTGGTCTAGAAGATTTTTGAAATTTAAATAAAAGTTAAACAAACATAATTTAATGTTTTTGAGGAAAAAAAATAAGGATTCAAAAATGAGGTGTTACGTCTCACACAAATGTTATTAAATCAATAAAAAGCATTCTGGTTTACATTTATAAAACTATGCGTAATAGATTAATGTGACCATTTTAAAGATCACTTCATCACCAAACTGGATTGCTTATTAAAGAATTAGTAAGTTTATCTATAAAGTATATGTACAATAAATATTACTACTAGTTCAGGTAAACTAATTTAAATATAAACATATACTTAACTAGTTTAAAAACACAATATAGATGGCTTAATAATAAATATGAATCATCAATTTAAGAATAACGTACCTCGGATGATAAAAACTTCTTTGTTCTTGGAGTAGGATTTCTTACCAAACCAAGAGGTAAATGTAAGCATGCATCTGGATCTAATTCTTTTAGCCGATTTGAATGGTTTACATCAGTATATCCGGTTTTTGGATCCTTATCTGTTTGGTTGTAAATGTCGGTTTCTGCCTTAGCTAATAGATCATCATCTTTTATTTTCTTTAAGGAAATATTTAAAAAAATGGAAATGTTGATTTTATACGAATTCTTATAGTTAATAAGTTTAACTCTTCTAGAACTTTTATACTTATTGTAATTCAAATTGTTTAAAATGTCTATAAATGTTGTCATAGTTTGGGATACTACTGAATGTTGATGAAGAACTGGTATTACTAGAGATATTGGTATTTGCCGCGATTGCTGAAAAACTACTACTTGCTATCTGTTACGACAGAACAAGACTAATTTGGCTCAATGATGATTTATTTACTCATCAAACACATGTCAAACTTAATTGCTGAGTTCTATTTTGACTCATTTCTAACACACATGCTTACTATGTAATAATCACTCTTTTATGTTAAAAAAACGAAAGCACAAACAATTTTGTTCAGGTTCCTAAAAGAATATCATATTACTGGTGGTAAATGTTTGCTTTTTGCGTTAATCATGGTTTAGGTATGGTGAAAATATAAATAGATGTCTAATTATTTAATAATTCTCTTGGAAGGAACATGACCAAACAAAATCGGCAGCAACTTTGATGAAAACGACGAGGTCATAGAATGTATTTCAATATTTGACTCAGTTCATAATTTCAAATGAAATTTAATTATATGACCATTCATTTACTAGTTGAAGTAAGAGTACTCATAACAGATACGAATCATCAGACTTAAAAATAAGCGGTTGAAACTTTGTTCATCAGTATTTTGCAATACTCAAGAAAGCATGAACTTTTATAGTTCACCGGAAAATACATCTAACTCATTGGGTGGGTCTTTGGGATTTTCCTACTTAAGTTCCTTCAAAGTGTCGTCAAGTAACAATATATCAGTATAAATGTCCAGTGACTCAAACTTTTTACCTACTTAACTTTATACATAAACACAAATATTCAGGGTTATTTTATATTTTAATAGGATTAACTAGGTAAACAAACGTTCAACCGAATGAAATCAAAATACAAAATGGTCGACTTTATGTACTCTACATTTTAGCTCGTAAGAAACAGGTTTGTGTACTGAATATGGGTGACTGTAAAGTTAACAGTTATGAGTTTATTGTATTTTAAGATTTTTAAGCATACTTAAATTCAAAAAAATGTTTGGTTGCACCGAATAACATCTAAAACATGGTAGTTTTATCACACATAGAAATATGCTTAATAATCTCATTTTCATGCAAATCATAAGTGGAATCATCACAAACGTATACGGTCATTGATGAAGCAGCATACCGAAAATGGAATCATGATAAGGAATATATATATATCTGAAGTCATAGTCTTTATAGCATTTTAGTGAATTCTTTCGGTTTCTCCGCCACATTTATTTGAAAACAACATAGAACCGAGCTTAGATTTAAATCGGTAAATAACGGATATATTTAGGAAAGTCTGGAGTTATGTGTTTTATAATTCCTGCTTTCTACTGAAATAGACTCAACGTTTTAGCACACTTCCTTAATATACTTGATTAAACAATAAAATGATTGTTATCGTACTTTACCTAAAGTTCCCATTCCATTTGCTTAAAATTCATCTTCTGTACTTTTAGGTAACTATAGTATCCATTTTAACTTAATCAGTGATCAGATGTTTGGGTTATTACTAATAAAATATAATAATGGAAATTTTTAATTGTTTTTTTATAATAAATTTCAAGAAACTAACGAAAAAGTGCATACCTCACATGACTATATTTTATATGAAGTGTACTTGAGAAAATCAATGTTTTATCTTCCTATTTAAGTACTCAAATGACATATGATACTAGGGAAAAAATTTCAAAACATTCAAAGTCAAAACTACTCTGTGACTTGCACAAAGTTGAGATATTTAAAAAAGAGGTCATATAAACTTAAATTATTGACTTCATAGCTCGGTCATAGCTTGACGTTTCCCAACTATCCTCTTCCTTAATACGAGTCGGTTACAAAAAACGGATAGTGTTAGAATGATCGAATTAAAGGAAGATATATACACTTTCTTGATCAATAACTCATCATTTATAATTGTTGATTGTTTCATTAGTGTGTTTGATGAAGTTCTGAAAATTTAATACGTTTGACCTTTATTCAAACTTATTCATAAAATAAGTTGTTAACACTTTTAACGACGTGATTTTATAAACGCTATCAGTTATCGAAAACGAACATTATCATAATATATTATATAACATCGAACTATCAGGTTATTTATTTTCTTTGTCTTTTATTAAAATTTAAATTGTTCAGTGAGAACTGTGAATATTAGTGGTCCAGCAACAAATTTTAATCTTTCAATGACAATTGTTTAATTGCTTTCGTTCTACGACTGAGTCAGTTCTAAATATAACGTAGAAGATAGTAACGTAAGTCTGATCTAGTTGCTGATTTTAGTTCATTCAATTTATTCAAGTGTGCATAAGCGAAGAGATATAATTCCATTATAAGATTTTAATCATTTAATAGCTAAGTCTCTATCGGTATTTCTGTAATACAATTACTAACACTCTGGCAAAACATTCCGTTGTTTTCTGTTTATTATAACACATGAATATGCAAAATATTCCATGTAGAATCATCAGTTTTCTAATTGTTCATTCTAAACAATTTTTATATAACCAGCTATCCCAAAAGACTGATCAGTGATTTTTAAAGTGCTAATATCACACTTATACGTTAGGTATCGTTTTTAATTAATCACTATTACTGTTTGTGATACTTTTTTATTAGCACTGACCTAGACTATAAACTGACTTTCCGTTTATACAACAGTTCGTTACCATCAAGGTAGAGTGATGGTTGAAATGTTCTAGGTATCTTTTTAAGCATTTCCTAACGTAGGAACAGAATTAACATGCGTAAAAAATGTAAAGGAAATACATCTTTACTATTTCTAAATAGTTTTTTATGTTTAAATAAAAATATTTCACCCAAACTCACTTTGCATTTGTTTGAATCGGGTGGGGGATGCATCCCGGGTTTCTGGGTTTCCATCCAATCTATGGATGGGTTTACAGTTTTCCTGGTCAGTTTCTTAGTGTGACATTTAGGTTCTCTCTTTAAACATAAATGTATCTGTTTTAGTTCAGTTTCTGCTTCCAGATTTTGCATACGTTTACGTTCGACTTCAGCTAAACTGTGGATTCGTTCATCTTCACATTTCTATAAAATAAAATATTGTTGATTATATTAGAGTTGGTTGTTATAGCTTGCTAATAATAAAATGTCCAGGATGAAATATTTAAGAGTACATTCTCAAATTGTCAGGAATGTCAACTCTGAGGTTTAACCTCGTAAATTTTTATATCAATCACATGAAAAATTAGTAGAAAAAAGTATCCATTATTTCGACTTAAAGAGTTTGAAAAATAAGAATCAAACTTTTCTAATTACAGTTACTTCTGAATTGTTTATTCCATTGGTCACAACTATACACACTAATACGTTAATAAAATGACATTAAAGTGTTAGTGATATTAGGGTTGATTGAAATCGTAGAGGTACGTTTTAAATTAAACGTGTATATTAGTTCGACCCATTATTTGAAAATTTAAAAAAATTTTCTTTGATTGTTTAAAATAGATTATATAGATAATAAAGTTTGTTGTATTAAATACAGATTTCACAAATATGGGGAATCTTCAAACGGAATATTCGTAAAACGTCTAATTGGTCCTAACTTGTCAATATTATTCGCTCACTAGTGTGCGATCAGTATATACATATTTTTGTTTTGTTTCCTTCTATTAAAAACAGTTTGTAATTCCTGATACGATCAAGGATCAACTAAAAACGTAATCCGAAAATTATTAGTTTTCATGAAGTTCACATATGCAATATTTTACCATAATCATAAAATTAATTAATAATATAAAAACATTTTCGTTTTCTGCAGTAACGTTTACAAGGAAACAACTGAATCAAAGTTTGAAATGGAAGTTGCAAGTTTGAGTAGATGTTTATTAATAATATAAACCCGCGAATACAGTTTCCAAAACAATATTTGAACTAAGGAAAATATATCATATGTGTTAATTCAGTCCTGATCATTACAAAATTATGGGATTACTGTTGAACCGATAAGTGAGACCAGAATGGTGTTGCTTTTTACTAGTGTTAGTTACTATGACAACGTTTGAAGACTTATTGATTTATTGTGACTTGTAACTTTCACGGCTTCCATATTACTGGGGGAAGAAGAAAAGTTTTCCTATCTTCTGACAAAATGTTTTAAAGTCTGTAATAACGTTGGTTTATTGATTTACAGAAGAATGTAGTACTAACGTAATTTAGAAAAAGTTACGAAAATCAATCAGGTTGAACATTTCCAAAAACATAATATACGGTTAAAGGTGTGTTGATGTACATGTTATATAAATAATTTTTCTCAATTTACAACGTTATTTTCATAGTATACATGAATAATTCTGAGTCTAAGCATTTTCTGAGTAATAGAAATTTCAGGTCTTTAAATGAAGACAAGAGAGAGATGATGTTCACCATTGAAAATAAGCTATTTTATATTTAAGCAATTTATACTTAACATTTTTATTAAGCATTCAATTATCGGCTTGATTGGGTAACTCGACTGAGAAACTATTTTGCGAGCTTAATTTATTTAGATACAACACTATCAACTAATTTTAAGTAGTTACAGTACACTGATTTTATGACGAAAAAAGTTGTAAATTTGCAACACAATCAATAAATAAAGTATGTCTAAGACATAATAGTAGAAAAAGTCTGGTTTAGCAAACCGATCAGTTGTTAGATTTTGTATGAAACCAATTACGTTAGACTAAAAAGAAACTTAAGTCATCCTTACACAACCATTAAAATAAATCAATGTAGAAAACAAGTAGTTTTTAAATACCCACAAAGTTGAAAATCATACACAGTCCCCAATTTAGAAGCTTAGTTGCGTTGAATAATATTGATTAGTCTAAGTAGCATGTGATGTTACGAAATTTACCTCGAGTGAATATAAATGTAGCAAGCACTGAAAAAAATGTTAAGCATGTGTTTGTGTGACAGTTTATTTAGTAAAAATTTATAGAAAAAAAATCCTCTTTATTCTTTATAAAGAAAACTGATATAACGTAATGCAAAAACAGAAGACGACTTCACGGACTGCTTTGGTCCCGTATATTTGAAGTTATCATTCAGGATGATATTTAAAGAATAGTAATGAAACAATTTTAAGTCATTAGGATAAAGTTTAAGACCTTGTTGAAACTCTTATGTAAAAGTAACTTTAACCTTGATTTTTATTGATAATTATTTTTATTCCACAAGATTATAGCCTAGCTGTAATGTAGTCCAGATCTCAATATACGGAGTTAAACATAAAAGAAATAACCTACTTTGGTCTGATTTAAATTATAATAAATCAGTACTACTAAGTAAGAATAGAAATATTGTATACTGACTATAAAATAACTCGTGTTGGTTGAAAATAAGAAGGAAAATAAACGATATAATTCCTTTTTTCAAGCCTAATGAAATATTATAGGAAATGATTATAAAGAAATATGAGTCTGATTTACTAATTTACACTCACTTTATAGTGTTTCAATAACACGTTCACTACTTCGTCTATGACTCCAGGTTTCAAAACATTCGGCTGTGTAGTCTGTGTATACTGAAGTAGTTCACGTTGAGTTAGTCCAAAATGCATCATGATATATCAGAGAGATCAGTACATTTACTATTAATAAGATTATTCTTATAAGTTACCGTGAGGATGTCCTTTATATATAACATAAATCATTAATTTCCTTTTTCTGGTTGGTTAGGAAATTTTTAACTTGTGACTAAAAAATTATTATAATTAAATTGTAAAAGAATTTATATGTCACGTGTTATTCACTTATACTAAAGTAAATATGATACGTAAGTGAATAACCGATGCAGTGGACTGATGACCGATTTTTGTTATACTGAATAACCAATACCTTATTTTAAACAATGCGTACTCTTCTGTCAAAGATTGTTTGATAAATTAACCATGTGTTCATAACATCTAACTATTGTCTCAGTAAGATCCGAATTGGGTATCTGCATTAGTTAACTTACAAGAAATTAATCTTAAATCCCTTAAAGATTAAAAATAAAAGATTTACAGAACACTACGTTTATATATTGTTCCGTACATCACAAATGGCAATTATAACTTTATGAATTGATTAGGTATAGTAAATATAATTTATCAAATTTTTCGACTATTGAACCAAAACTGAAAAATATTTAAATCCAGGAGGTGTTTTTGTTATAAATCTCTGGTCAGACCAAAATTTTGATAGGTAATCAACTATCGACAACACTGTTCATCCATCATTGATCTTAGTCATTTGACGTATTAATGACCACATGGTAGGCTACTTTTAACATTTTTGTAGTAAATCACTCTATTACACCTATGTCATTTGCAATTTAAAAATTGATTCACCAAAGCACGAAATTCGGACCTAGTAATTTGTACTTTTTTACATTTTTATGTTTAGTATCAGAAGGGGTTTTTGGATATTATAGTAATTTTAATGGTTAAGATCTTGAGTCAGTTGAATGCAGATCACCTTGGGAAGCCTGGAAGCACTGTACGGCCATTTCGTTCTGTTCTAGGATTTCTCAGCAATGAGTATCCACGATCTCGTCTCGCGAGATTCGGACCGAGGACCTATCAGTCTCGCGCGCAAGCGCCTAACCACTAGACCACTGAGCCGCATCCAACGGTGTTGATTTCTAACTTTAATTATGTTTATTCGGCTATTTTAATACTTTGGATAATAAGATGGTACTGAATACAATAACGTTTTTAAACAATCATTCATAAAAACTTCCAATTAATTAGAATTAGTCAATCATTATTCCATCTGTTAACGTTTAGCAATCATGATCATTCTGTCCAGTTATCAGTATACGGATGTAAATGTTTTTATAACACATTAATCTATATTCATATCAAATTTATCTGTGGTTGAAAAATTACTATGGACTACAGTGACGTTTTAGACACATAATTCACTTTATCAATTTCAGAAAAACAATAGTATGAATAGAATAAATTGACTACACTTTATTGTGTTAGGTAGTAAAAGACTAAATGGGTGAGATCAAATCATTAGCTATAAGGTTGAGATGAATATGAATGATTATTGCATAGACAATCCCTAAAGTTCATTAATATTTTTCAGTTTACCTGTGCTTCATGTTTTTTTCTGCTCTATAAAATAATATTTTTGCAACCGATTAAAAAAATATTATTTGAGTTCCGGTACAAACCACGTCTTATACACTTCCAATAAAATGAACAAGGATTTATACTGTCTACCTTTTGTTGCACAGCTATATTTTCTTCATGTTCTATGGTAAACTGAATATCGCCATGAAGAGCTCTAGTTAGTGTTTTGTATAGTATTGATCTCAAATGCCTTCTTTATTATACATGTCGAAACACCTGAAATAAAGTGTCGTTGCACCACTCATTTTCTAAGATAGGTATTTCAAGATCAGCTGTAAAAGAAATCGTTAATTTATAAATATATAAGAGATATTTAGATTAACTTAGAAAATACTTTATTTCAATAAGTGTGTTAAAAGTCGCTTAATTCTGGTTCTACACAAGTACAAGCATTTGTGGAGAACATATTGAAATGTAACGTGTTCATCTTATTCTTCTATAATTAATTTAACTGATATCATATATCTTTTCTGTTTGTGGATGTAGATGATAAACAGAATATTTAATCAATCTCAAATTTTGTATATTTAAAGATGATTAGACGATGAGGATAATACAATTTCATGTATCATTACCAAGCTTTGACTTGATAATTTCAAATAAATTGAGTATTGGTTAGATTGTTATAAAGAAATTAATATATTTGTAATATCCCAGTAAGTAGATAAATTATTATTCTTTGAGAAAGTGCCTTACACTGAATCACTAAACGTCAGAAAATTCGATTTTTCTATTCATTGGGATATTACAAATATATAAATTTATTTAATATAATTTAATATTTCAGTTAAACAAAGAGAATCAGCTTTTTAATTTGGAAATGCTATGTTTGAAGCGATTACAAGTTCATCTAATCTGAGAACGGAACAAAGACTCTGTGACCAAAGATCAATAAGCTAGCTATTCTGACGCGTCCCAGCTCAGCTAACTAGAGAGAAAAAGTCCAAATTTGGAAGAGGGAAATATATTCCATAAGCAGCCAGAAGCACGAACAACCACGACATGTCTAGTCCGAAATACACATTTATATGTTGATTCATACACCCATTTTTAATTAATATTTATAATAAAATCACATATCTATGAAAAATACATCGTTATAACAAATCAGATGCTGAGAATAGTTCATGTCCATTGAATACAAGAATATCGTATGTTATATAGAATAAAATGTCATAAGGGAAAACAAAACAAATACTACATTAGGTAATCATCACATTAAATTAAAATGGAATTAATATTAAACAAAAAATCGTAATGAGTAAATCAATCTTATTTTGACTTTTCATTTCGTCATAACGGGAAACTTTTTACATTACCGTTTGATAGATTTGCACTTAGATTTAAAATAGCTTTTTTAAAGAAATTAACCTAACAGCAATCATTCCCTCACTTTAAGAGCATTCATTTACATGGCTAAATCATCTAATCAAATAGTCTCATCTTTATACATAAATATAATAAAGTAATAAGCGCTCATAGTTTCTGATGCACTACACATCGATTATTTATTATCTATTTTTGTCACTTCGATCGATAGGACTGTTATGATTATTGAACGACAACCTTATTATAAAGATTCTACAAACGCTAACCATAAATAATTAATTTTTTATCAGAAGGGGTTTGTGGAGATTTTAGAAATTTCATAGATTGAAATCATAAGTCAGTTGAAGCTAAACCACCATGAAAACCTAGAAGCACTGGACGGCCGTTCCGCCCTAGTATGGGACTCCACGACCCCGCACCCCGCGAGATTCGAACTCGTGACCTATCAGGCTTGCGCGCGAGCGCTTAACCAACTAGACCACTGAGCCGGCATGTAGTCATTAATTTCATTGAACTAATCAAAATCACACAAGTTTCCCTTATACTAATTCGAATTACCTATAGCACATGGCTGATAAGTAACACAAACTGTCTATCTAATATGTCCAAATAGGTATCCACTAATCGCTAGCTTTAACAAGAATTACTCGAAGTTCTAATATGCAGGTATAGGGCATAGAACTAACCGTCATGATATGAAACTTATCACATGATTATTTCGATAGATATGTTTTATTACAAGATAATTAAAACTGAAAACCTGAAGCATTGAATTTAGATGCCGATAATGAAAAACATGTTATGCACAACGAGAGAGCTGTATATTTCAGATTCAGTTTCATGGTCGTATAAACACTTCAAAAATCTCATTAATTGTTTTTTTGTCTTGAGTTAATTCATGATGAGACATTTAAATAAAATCAATCCCCACAAACCCTCAATCTAATTTTAAAGAACAGAATATTAATTACAAATAATTAATTTGACATCTTCAAGACACGTTTTGTTTTTGTGTTAATAACACAATCTTTGTTTTAAAAATCAAACTATAATTTAAATTTTCTGTT